ACCTGACAATGAGTAAAACGGAAGCTGTGTGAACACACACACGCATCTTGTTGCTTAACCAGGGCCCTCCAAGAGCACTCTGATGCTCAGGACACACACATGCCTGCAGCTGGCAGCCTCCTCTCCACTCTGCAGCCATCGTTCTGCTCCCAATGACTGGGTTCTGGCATGACTCAAAGTCAATTTGGTTTACTAGTCTAATCAGCTAACTTAATGAATTAATACACATTAATAAGAATGAGTGTGAAATGAGAGGGAATTGCTTGCTATGGAACCCAGGCTAAACCCCTGGGGAAGACTCAAAACCTTGAGCTGCCGAAAGGAATTAATTCTTTTAACTTTTGAGTAAGCAAGACGGTGCTACAGGACCAAGAGGGGAAATGAGGCAGCAGTCTGGAAGGATCCGGCGCACAGACTGCATCACAGTTGTTATCACCCTACAGAAACCCAAACCAGAACCCGTGGGCGATGCATCCAGAGAAAGACGACATCCAATTCCAGTCAGAGGGCCCACTGTAACAAAGAAAGAGACCTTGGTTCCACATCTAAAGACGTGGAGAAAGAACACACATTTGTGTTGAAGTTAAAACTCAAGCCCAAGGTCGGTCTGTGTCACTTGCCTGACTTTTGGATTCCTGGGCCAGTTGTTACAAAGAACAGGGTTCTAGCTGAGCATTTTTAAATTAAACACAGAGAAGGCACTGACTCACTCTGCTCAGTCACCCACCAGAGCCTTTGTCTACTTTCTTCCTTCTAAATTTGACTGAGATGGTTGGCATTTATTTTCTAAAAGAAATCCAGGGAGAGGGAAGTAACACAATGTTCATCTACCATCCTTCATCCAAAATAAACAGCTGAGAACAGAGCACTCTGCCTGCCGGGCTGGAACACAGAAAGGCCCAATTCTCTTCTTTCCTCCCCACTCAAATGGTTTCTCAATAGATGAATTCACAATGCTTATCAAAGAGGCAGATCTCTAGGACTGCTTGGTGTCAGAGGCAGCTTATAACATAAATCTCAAAAACCCTCATTTCAGAGTCAGGAGTCCTACTAACATCTCCAGGCTTAATAGTTTTATTAGGTTTAGGTGAATATTTGAAATTGGATCAAAGTTGAGAGGAGATGAGTTATAAAGGATATAGGAAAGAAAAAGACATTTATGAATAAATGCTTCATGAAAGGCAGGGGCAAGGAAAGAAGGGGAAGTGGGAGAGGAGGAGGAAGAGAAATGAAATTTAAGACTTACTGAAAACAACACGTGTGCACAGTTGCACACATGCTAACACACACACTCCTAGAAATCAGATATTTCCCCTGGGGCCGGTACTGTGGCATAATGGGCTAAGCCTCCACCTGCGGGTCCAGCATCACTACAGGCACTGGTTAACATCCCGGCTGCAACCACTTCTGATCCAGCTCTCTGCTATGGCCTGGGAAAGCAGTGGAAGATGGCCCAAGTCCTTGGGTTCCTGCACCTGCATAGGAGGTCCCAAAGAAGCTCCTGGCTCCTGGCTTCGAAATGGACCAGCTCCTGCCATTGTGGCCATTTGGGGAGTGAACCAGCAGATGGAAGACCTTTCTCTTTGTCTTTCCCTCTCACTGTCTATAACTCTGCATCTCAAATAAATAAATAAATCTTTTTTAAAAAAGATTTGTTACCCTCTCACAAACTCAGTATTTTAATATATGCTTACTATAATCTCATGCATAAAAATGTTGTATTTATAACTAAAGTCTTAATTATCAAAACTGGCTGGAAGGCCCCTATTTTCATACTCCTGGAAGACTATGCTGTAGTCTATATGTGTATCACAGGTAGTAATAACAGACTAAGGAAGGTACCGAAATATTCAAGTGAGCAATTATCTTTGTTAACTTACAATACAAAATGGAATCTGAAAAGCCAACTGAAAATGATTCTTTTCAGCAGGGTAGAGTACACTTTGGGTTCTTTCTTTCAATACTGTTAGCCTGGAGCACAGCCTTGCTTCTGTCCAGAGAACACAAAGCAAACTGTGTCAATACCCAGACAGAACCTATTTAGCCACTTCCTCAGCCTCCCTGCACAAGCAGAACACTTACATACTGCTAGCACTGTTTCTGATACAGCGACAATACAAAGAATAAATGATATGGCCCTGCTCCTCGGAGCTCAGGGTGTTTGAGAGCTCAAAATATGCAGAGGCGGCAAAAAGAAAATGAGTGTCAAAAGGGATCCTTTGTTAAAAAAAAAAAAAAAAAAAAGAGGATCCTTTGTGACTCTGGATTCATAGCATTATTTCCAACTATTAGATTAGAAATCCCTTGTCAAGACTGTGCTAGAGGTAACTCTAGATTCCTGACACTTATCTGCTGTGCAAAAACCCTGCACTGGCTTTAGGCCGCTGTTATGTAAACATCTCAAATCCTTGTCCTGCTCTGGGTGCCCTGTGCCTGGCCCCAACACCTCTCTCACATGCCAGCCACACGGGCCTTCTTTTTTGTTTTTGTTTTTGTTTTATTTTCTTTTAAGAAACACACGGAGAGAACTCCCATCCGCTGGATCACTCCCTGTGCCCTCAGTGGCAAGAACTGGGCCAGCCAGGCCAAAGGCTGGAGCCCAGGAAACAATGCTGGTCTCCCACGTGAGTGGCAGGAACCTAATTACTTTGTGCCATCACTACTGCTCTCAGGGTGTGCACTGGCAGGAGGCTGAAATTGGGAACCAGAGCTGGGAATCTAATTCAGGCACTCTGATATGGGATGCTGGCATCCAAATGGTAGCTTAACCCACTAAACTACAACATAAGCCCCAAAAACTTGTTTAAGAAGTTGCAAAAACACTGTGGTTGATACCACGACAGACGCTTTCTTACCTGAAAGTAAGTGACTATATCAGACTTCCACTAGAGCCCGTCCACCCCTGTTATTCCCAGTGCTGCATGAAGCAACTAGATCAGACAGACCAGCTCCTTGCCACACATTTGTTGCACACTTGCACCTGCATTTCGTAAGCAAAATGTTTCACTCACTCAACCCAGAAACCTTTACTGAAACGTGTGTGCACACAAGCACACACACTCACACACACTCCCAAACCCGACCACTAGAAAGGTTCTCCCCCTGCTGATATCCGGTATCTTAAGCTGTTTTCCTCCTCTGCGGGTGGGCAGGCTGGAAGCGATCATGTTTTATGGTAAAACAGAGGTACAAGCACACATGCTGGGAAAAGTGTTTGTTTGGTTTCCATCAGGGTTTCTCAATCTCAGCGCTACCGATATTTCGGCTTGGATAATTTTTCGCTGGGGTTGGGGAGGAGAGGTGTTGCTGTCCTGGGCATTGTATGATGTTTCACGGCCATCAGGCAGGCTCCGCCCACTCAGTGACAGCTGCACTCTCCCCTTTACCCCCATAACACTCAGTCACTAAAAATCAAAAATTTCGCCAGTCTTTTGTTAGGATCAGAACCACCAGTAGTTGAAAGCCACTTGTTTAGGCTGAAGTACAGACTGTGCCCTGAGACACTGAGCCACCAGGACCCCTGAGAGTGCTCCACAATTTTCTGGTTGTGGCATTTAGAAAATGGGATTTCTCGACTGGATAAACAAAATGACCCGCAGCTGGAGACACTCGCCCAAGGGCTCCACCCGTGCCCAAGGGCTGACGGGTCTCTGTTTGGCAAACCAGGCACCCATTCTTATTCAAGACACAAAGGTTGAGAAGCCCTGCCCCCTGGGACTCACATCTTGACTTCCCCATCCTGCCTAACCCCTTCCAGCTCTATGTGGCCTTTCTGGCCTGCTGTCCCAGCTTCCCAGTCAACTCTCCATTCTCAACTTCCAGGTTTGGCAGCAACACTCCTGGCCAATGACAGAACCTACTAGAATGGTGACTACATATAGAACAGGCTCATGGACCAGGGGCCAAGTAAGTACTGAGGCAGTAAAGGACACGGTCTGGGTGCTCTGGTGCATAGCAACAGCAAGGTGCAGAGAGGAGACCTCAGGATCCCTCCATAGTGACCCTGGGAGACTGACTTAAAGGGAAATAAAGTCCACCAGACTGAGCCAGTGCCAGGAGAAACTCAGTATTCACCATAACCTGTGGGGAATTATCAGTTTTGATTAAAAAAAGAATTGGAACAACACCCACGAATGGGAGAAAACAAAAGCAATAAGCAGCAAGAAGGATGAATGGGCACTACTCCATCCCCCTGGTGAGAGTAAAGCCTTCAATTTTTATTAATTTCTACTTTTAGCCTTTAGGGTTATTTATTCATTTGAGATGCAGAGTGAGACAGCAAGAGCAGAGAGAGCTCCCATCCACTAGCTCACTCCCCCAATGCCTGCTAAGGCCAAGGCCAATCTTGAAAGCTGAGAACCCATCCAAGTCTCCTGCATGGACAGCTGGAACCCAACTACTCGAGCCAACATCTGCTGGCTCCCAGTACCTTCATTAGCAGTAAACTGTAGAGAGGTGTAAGAGAGGGAAAATCAAACCCAGGTACACCGATGGGGGACACAGGCACCTTAGCCACTAGACTAAACACCCATCCCTAAGTTTAGAATGTTTATATTTAATTGAAAAGTGCTTTCAATCCTTTGGGTTAGGTCTAAGGCACTGAATCCTACATTTTATAGCTCAAATCAAGGATGCCCCGTGAGAAGCCATCTTGTTATTTCTGACTGCGTATTACATTAGTATCTTAGGAATAACATGAAGGTTATTCATCTATAAACAAAGTCTTAAGACAGAATTTGAAGAAAGGAGGAAAATCATACTGGTGAGACACAGGAATGGTTGAACACAGAGCTTAGTTTACAAATGAATGAGAAAGGGGAGGGAAAGATGTTTAAAAGATCTCTTTCCTACTAAGGGAAGATAAGTAGGCAACAAAAAAAAGTTGAAAGTATGTGCAACAGGAGCTACTTGTTTCAAAAACAAAGACTTTTAAATAAGCAAGGTACACACAAGAAACAAATGGAAAAGTCACCTTCTTAGAAATAGATCAGAGCAGTTACCTAATTTACACAAGGTGTCACTGAGGCTGATGTTCAGCTGCTTCTGGACAAGTGAGGAGTTGACCAGAGTGCTTGCATTTTCCTTGATTTTTATCACTTGTTTATAGTATTCAATTACTTGCTTCCTTTGGGATCTAGAAAAGAAGAATTTAATTAAAGTTTTGCAAGAAGGATGTCTGCCATTCATTTAACAACCATTCACTAGCAGTAGGCACTAGGACTCAGGATCAAAGACAAGTAAGCCTAACCATTGCCCTAATAATTTCCTAAGGTGGGAGGAGAAATTGGAGAGAGAAGCAGGAGTCTACTCACGAAGGACATTGGCTGCAAACCTAAGGGGTCTGGACCTGGATTTTGAAGAGTTTCCATTAAGAGAATAATAAAATCTGATCCGTACATTAGAAACCCACTTTGGCAGAACTGCAGAACAAGCAGGTGAGGTACGGCTGAGACCAGTTAGTCCTCGGGAAGACTGATGAGGGCCCCACTATTACAGAGGCCACAGATGCAAAGTGAGATTGCTCAGTGTAGCATCGCACTGGATGTGGAGGTGCTGATGAGGGAGGCTGCTGGGGACACTGATACCTGCCATGCAGTGGTGTGGTTAAGAGTTCAAGCACACCGGGTTCTAGTCCCAGTTGGGGCACTGGATTCTGTCCCGGGTGCTCCTCTTCCAGGCCAGCTCTCTGCTGTGGTCTGGGAGGGCAGTGGAGGGTGGCCCAAGTGCTTGGGCCCTGCACCCCATGGGAGACCAGGAGAAGCACCTGGCTCCTGGCTTCGGATTGGCGCAGCGCGCTGGCCGTAGCAGCCATCTGGGAGGTGAACCAATGGAAGGAAGACCTTCCTCTCTGTCTCTCTCTCTCACTGTCTAACTCTGCCTGTCAAAAAAAAATTCTTTAAAAAAAGGACATTATATTTTGATAAAATGTTCCATTCAGCAAGAAGACATAACAATCATAAATATATATGCACCCACTGCAAGACCACCCAGTTATATATAGCAAATACTATTATATCTAAAGGGGGAAATAAACTCCAATGCAATGTAGTGGGTGACTTCAACATCCCACTCTCATCAATGGACAGGTCATCCAGACAGAAAATCAATAAACATCGGAATTGAAACATACTATCAAACAAATGACCTAACAGAAATTTACAGGATATTTCATTCAAGATAGAGAATATACATTCTTCTCATCAGTACATGGAACATTTTCTACATCACATATTAGGCCACAAATCAAGTGTCAGAAAATTTTTAAAGATTGAAATCATACCATGTATCTTCTCAGACCACAGAGAAATAGAACCAGAAATCAACAAGAAGACTAGAATACTCAAATATTTGGAAATTAACAACATGCTACTGTATGATCAATGGGTTATTGAAGAAATCAAAAAGGAAATCAAAAACTTTCTTCAAATAAATGAAAATGAAAACACAACATATCAAAACCTGTTGGATACAGCAAAAGAAGTATTAACAGGGAAGTTTGTAAGTTTGTAGCATTAACTGCTTACAATGAGAAAGAGAAATGTCTCAAATTAAAGATCTAATGATGCCGATCTACAAGCAACTAATCTTTAACAGAGAAGCTGAAAACAATTCCTGGAAAAAGTACAGTCTATTCACAAATGGTGCTAGGAAAACTGTAATTCTGCGTGCAGAAGTGTAAAGCAAGACTCTTACCTTACACCTTACACAAAAATCAACTCAACATGGATCAAGGATCTAAATCTACGACCTGGTACTATCAAATTATTAGAGGATAACAATGGGAAACTCTGTAAGACATTGGACTAGGCAAAGACTTCTTGGAAAAGACCCCAGAAGCACAGGCGATCAAATTCAAAACAGAGGAATGGGATTCCATCAAGCAGAGAAGCTTTTGCACTGCAAAAACGAAACAATTAGCAAAGTGAAGATGCAACCAACAGAATAGGAGAAAATATTTGCAATCTATACAACATATAAAGCATTAATATCCAGAATATGATAAAGATCTCAAGAAACTCAACAACAGCAAAACAGTCAGTTAAGAAATGGGCAGAATCAGAGGACCACAGCTCCCTGTGCTTGGTGCTGCTACAAAAAAGCCACATACCCCAAGTCAGGTCAATCAGAATCTTCCCCCAGACTGTTCTCTGCAGGGCCAGTGTGAATGATGCATTGTCCCTTGCAAGAATATGAGTCTAAAGTTGCCACTAGACACATTTTCTACCTGCTCAAAAATTGATAAATTGGAAAGAATGAAGATAGATTTAAAAAAAAAAAGTAGCAAAAGACACTAAGAAAAAGAATCCTGTAGTGTTGGGATCTTGTCAAGATGGGAAAAGACTGAAAATTGAAGGTCCCTATATTTATGTCTAAATATTTATGTTATTAATCAAGATAATAAACTGATAAACAAAAGAAAAGAAATGGGCAAAAGATGTTAATAGGCTTTTTCTTTTTTTAAAGATTTATTTAAAGATTTATTTGAAAGGCAGAGTTAGAAGGAGAGCAGAGAGAATCTTCCACCTGCTGGTTCACTCCCCAAATGGCCACAACAGCTGGAGTAAGGCCAATTTGAAGCCAGGAGCCAGGAGCTTCTTTCAGCTCTCCCACATGGGTGCAGAGGCCCAAGCACTTGGGCTATCTTTCACTGCTTTCCCAGGCACATTAGCATTAGTAGGGAGCAGGAAGCAGAGGTGGAGCAGAGGTGGAGCAGAGGGACTTGACTCAGCAGCTATACTGGAAATGGGCACTGCAGACAGTAGCTTAACCCACTATGTCACAGTGCCAGCCCCAAACAGGCATTTTTCAAAAGAGGGAATTCAAATGGCCAGCAGGCATATGAAAAAATGCTCAGGATCACTAGCTGTTGGGGAAATGCAAATCAAAACCACAGTGAGGATTCACCTGTCCCCAGGTAGAACGGCTTTCATATAGAAATCAACAAACAATAAATGCAGACAAGGATGTGAGGAAAAAGGTACCCTAATCCACTGTTGGTGGGATTGTAAACTAATACAGCCATTGTAGAATACAGTATGGAAATACCTCAGAAAGCTGAAAATAGGTATACCATATGACCCAGCAATCCCACTAGTGGGAATTTACCTAAAAGAGATAAAATAAGCATATGAGGGCCGGCGCCGCAGCTCACTAGGCTAATCCTCCACCTTGCGGCGGTGGCACACCGGGTTCTAGTCACGGTCGGGGCACTGGATTCTGTCCCAGTTGCCCCTCTTCCAGGCCAGCTCTCTGCTGTGGCCAGGGAGTGCAGTGGAGGATGGCCCAAGTCCTTGGGCCCTGCACCCCATGGGAGACCAGGAGAAGTACCTGGCTCCTGCCATCGGATCAGCGCGGTGCGTCAGCCGCAGTGCGCTGGCAGCGGCGGCCACTGGAGGGTGAACCAATGGCAAAGGAAGACCTTTCTCTCTGTCTCTCTCTCTCACTGTCCACTCTGCCTGTCAAAAAAATTTTTTAAAAAAATCAGCATATGAAAGAGTTATCTGAACCCCAGGTTTATTGCAGCTCAATTCACAATAACTAAGATATGGAATAAAACCAGATGTCCATTAATTGATGGTTGGATAAAGAAATTGTGAGATATAGATAGATACATAGATAGATAGATATAATGGAATACTACTCAGCCATAAAAAATAATGAAATCCTGTCTTTCACAACACAATGGATAGAACTAGAAATCATTATACTTAGTGATAAATAAGCCAGTCCCAAAAAGACAAATACAATATGTTTTCCATGGTCTGTGATAGCTAATATAGGAGCAAAATTGACATTTTGAGATTTGATAATTATTTATAGCGCTTGTCTCAACTGTTGAGAAACAGTGTTGTTTCTTTTACTACTTGTTCAACTCTTTACTTATTATAGGGTTAATCTTATAAGTACAAAGTAAACTGAAAGTAGATCATTGTAAAAATTAAGAGAGAGTAAGAGGGGAAGGAGGAGGAAGGGTAAGAATGTGGGCAGGAGGGAGGGTGGGAAATATCACTATGTAACTAAATCTGCAAGTATGACATGCATGAAATTTATTTACCATAAAATGCAAATTTGTTTACCTTAAAAAATCTAATGATGCATCTTGAAGACTTACAAAAACAAGAAAAACCAAACCCCAAATCAGCAGGAAATAAGCAATAATAAGGATCATAGCAGAAATAAATGAAACTAAAAAAAGTACAAAAGAGCAATGGAAAAAAAATGGTATTTTTGAGAAGATAAACAAAATAGATAAATCACTAGCCAGACAAAAAAGAAAAAGGTGAAAAAACTCAAATAAATAAAATTAGGGATGAAAAAGGAGACATTACAACTGATACCGCTAAAATACAAAAGATCACAGGAAACTACTATGAAGAACTATATGTTAATAAATTGGAAAGCCTCAAAGAAATGCATAAATTCCTGGATTCATATAACTATCAAGATTAAATCAAAAAGATATAGACAACCTAAAAAGATCCATAACAAGCCAGAGACTGAAGCAGTAATCAAAAGTCTTCCATCAACAAAAAGTCTGGGACTGATGGCTTTACTACTGAATTCTACAAAACATTCAAAGAAGTAACCCCAATACTCTTCAGATTATTCCAAAATATTGAACAGGCTGGAACTTCGCAAAATTTTTTATGAGGCCAGCATTACTTTGATATTAAAACCAAACAAAAACATGATATATAAAAAAAAACTTACAGACTTATATCCTTCATAACATAAATGCTAGATTCTCAACAAAATACTAGCAAATCAAATCTAAAACCACATTACATTAAGTGGGATTTATCCTAGAAATCCAAGGGTGGTTCAACATTCACAAATCAATAAACATCATAAATCACATCAATAGAATGAAGAACAAAATCCATAAAGTCATTGCCATAGACACAGAGACAGCATTTCATAAGATTCAACACCCCTTCATGATAAAAACCCTTCACAAATTATGTCTAGAAGGAACACTCCTCAAAATTATAAAGGCTACATATCACAAACCAACAGCCAATATCGTATTGAATGAAGAAAAACTGAAAGCATTTTCCCTCAGATCTGGAACAAGACAAGGAAGTCCACTTTTGTCAGTCTTATTTAATACAGTACTGGAAGTTTTAGTAAGAGGGATTAGAGAGGAGAAATAAATAAAGGGCATCAAAATTGGAAAAGAGGAAGTCAAATTATCCGTATTTGGAGATAACATGATGTTGTGGCCGGCGCCGCGGCTCATTAGGCTAATCCTCCGCCTTGCAGCGCTGGCACACCAGGTTCTAGTCCCAGTCGGGGCGCCAGATTCTGTCCCGGTTGCCCCTCTTCCAGGCCAGCTCTCTGCTGTAGCCAGGGAGTGCAGTGGAGGATGGCCCAAGTAATTGGGCCCTGCACCTGCATGGGAGACCAGGAGAAGCACCTGGCTCCTGCCATCGGATCGGCGCGTTGTGCCGGCCGCAGCAGCCATTAGAGGGTGAACCAACGGCAAAGGAAGACCTTTCTCTCTGTCTGTCTCTCTCACTGTCCACTCTGCCTGTCTGCCTGTCAAAAAAAAAAAAAAAATGATGTTGTACAAAATCTAAATACTCCACCAAAAAGCTGTTAGAACTGATAAGGCAATTCAGTCAAGTTGCAGGTTACAAAATAAACATACCAAAAACAGTAGTTTTGTTGCATGCTAATGATGAACTCACAGAAAGAAATGGAGAAAGAAATTCCATTCACAATAGCCACAAAAAATAATCAAATGTTTAGGAATAGGGGCTGGTGCTGTGAAACAGCAGGTTAAAGCCCTGGCCTATAGCGCTGGCATCCCACATGGATGCTGGTTTGAGTCCTGACTGCTCCATTTCTGATCCAGCTCCCTGCTGATGTGCCTGGGAAAGCCGCAGAACATGGCCCAAGTGTTTGGGCTCCTGCAGACACATAAGAGACCCATATGAAGCTCCTGGCTCCTGGCTCTGGCCTGGCCCAGCCCCAGTCATTGCAGCCATTTTGGGATTGAACAAGTGGATAGAAGACATTCTCTTTCTCTTTCTCTCTCTCTCTCTCTCTCTCTTTCCCTCTCCCTCTTCTTCTCCTTCCCCACAATCTCTCTATAACTCTGCCTTTCAAATAAATAAATTTTTTTATTTGAAAGGTAGAGTTATACACAGTAAGAGAGAGAGACAAAGAGAAAGTTCTTCCTTCCATTGGTTCACCCTCCAAATGGCTGCCATGGCTGGAGCTGAGCCAGTCCAAAGCCAGGAGCCAGGTGCTTCCTCCCAGTCCCCCATGCGACTGCAGGAGCCCAAGCACCTGGGCCATCCTCCACTGCCTTCCTGGGTCACAGCAGAGAGCTGGACTGGAAGAGGAGCAACCGGGACCAGAACCGGGATGCCGGTGCCGCAGGTGGAGGATTAACCAAGTGAGCCATGGCACTGGCCCCCAAATAACTAAATCTAAAAAAATATTTAGGAATATTTTCTACAATAAAAAATTTCTAACATTGATGAAAGAAATAATCAAAAACACAAAAAATGGAAAAATATTCATTGCTCATGGATCAGAAGAATCAATATTAATAGGGTCAGTAACACTGCAGGCAGAACTGTAAATTTCCTTTTAGACATGCCACCTAGCTTCTATTCAGGCCAGCTCCCCTTCCAGGCCAGCTAGGTAATGGAAGTCAACAGTATATTCCCTAAGAAGGTTCACAGCTCCCTTATGATGTCTCTTCAAGTACCCCATGTGAAGAGATAGATAGGTCTGGGCATCATACCTGCCTTAAATTAGCCCACCTGGTTATTATCAAGCCCATCCTGTCAGTTTCTATTTGGTTCTCAATGGGAAAACTTCTCTTGGTTTAGTCAGCACCTTTCTAAGGTCCTCTAATAATGACTCTGTCCTTTGTTTTAGACCCTGTGTTTTTAATCTCTCTCCAGACTTGAAACAGTGAGATTCTAGAAGGCCATGCACATGAAATCTTGGATGGAAGCAGTTTCTACAAGCTGGCACTGCGTCTCCCTCAAAAGGCCATCTTCTGCTAGAACCCTGTCTTAACTGCCATTCTCAATGACGCCCCTTTTCAGCATGAAGTAACCAGAGTGGCCATTACCTAGTTCCCCTAACAGAAGTTAGTGTCCATTCTTCTAGGGGAGGGAGTGTGAGGAGCAGACAGGTTAATAGGCAATCACATTGGTCCCAGTGGAATTTAGGGTGCAAAATGCTTGCTTTCCCCAAAGGCTACCTTTAGCAAGATTAAAAGTGCCTGCCCCATTCCTTAGGGATTTCAATTCATTTTTTTTTTTTTTTTTTTTTTTTTTTTTTTTTTTTTTTTGACAGGCAGAGTGGACAGTGAGAGAAAGAGACAGAAAGAAAGGTCTTCCTTTGCCATTAGTTCACCCTCCAATGGCCGCCACGGCCGGCGCGCTGCGGCCGGCGCACCGCGCTGATCCGATGGCAGGAGCCAGGAGCCAGGTGCTTTTCCTGGTCTCCCATGCAGGTGCAGGGCCCAAGCACCTGGGCCATCCTCCACTGCACTCCCGGGCCACAGCAGAGGGTTGGCCTGGAAGAGGGGCAACCGGGACAGAATCCGGCGCCCCGACCGGGACTAGAACCCGGTGTGCCGGCGCCGCTAGGCGGAGGATTAGCCTAGTGAGCCGCGGCGCCGGCCAGGAACTTCCATTCTTATCATGAGAATAACAAGAGAGTGGTGACTCCATCCTTCTGAGCTCCCAGTTCACTGTAAAACAAAGTAGGCATCCCACCCTTCTGATGGCTGTTTCGTTTTATCATGAGTAAGCCAACAGGGTAACAAGATTACAAGTCACGTATTTTGATAGGTTTTGTCCCTGCCTTGAAATTGAATGTCAAGCTGGTAAGTTTTTTCTTCCCCAAAATTGTGCTTAAAAACCCCTTTAGCCAGCCCCTTCAACAATAATAACAAAAAAACCAATCCAGTTGAGAAATGGGCAAAGGACTTTAATAGACCTCAAAAGAAGAAAGAGAAATGACCAACAAATATATGAAAAGAATGCTCATCATCACTAGCCATCAGAGAAATGCATATCAAAACCACAATGAAACATCTCCTCACCACTCTCAGAAGGGCTAAAATCCAAAACACAGAGAGTAACAAATGCTGGTGAGGATGTGGACAAAGGGGAACACTTATACACTGCTGGTGGGAATGTAAATTAGTGCAGCACTGTGGAAAACAGTGTGGAGATTTCTTAAAAAGTTAACAATAGACTTGCCATTTGATCCAGCAGTCCCACTATTGGGTATAAACCCAAAAGACTTGAACACAGTATATCAAAGAGACACCTGCACCACCATGTTTATAGCAGCACTGTTCACAATAGCCAAAACTGGACTCAACCACGGTGTCCATCACAGGATGAATGGATAAAGAAAATGTGGCATATATACACAATGGAATATTATTCAGCTATAAGAAAGAATGGAATTCTACCATTTGCAACAAAATGGACAGTACAGGAGGAATCATGTTGAATGAAATAAAGGAAGCTAAAGTTTAAAAAACAAACAAAAAGGAGCAAAGAAAGACACATCTGTGTCTGTCCGTATTGCTGCAAATATAGTTGTGTAAAACTTTGTTATATACCTTTGTGAAACCAATGGTTAGGAACGTTACACTACTGTAGTTTTAATGATGTCATTACTCTAAAATTTACTGTACATGGGTGAAATGGTCATTTTTTGTTTATAACCATTGTCCATATTCCCAGTAAACAGGGTCTTTTTGCTTTTAACTTATTAGACTTACTCAGTGAAGTAGTAAGCCTTTCTACTGTCACAAAAATAACAAAAAAAGAAAGGGAGAAGGAAGGAGGGTGGACGGGAGAGAGTGGAGTGAGAAAGGAAGGGGCTATTACTGTGTTCTTAGAAGTGCACCTACAAAACACATTGAATCTGTTAAAACTAATTAAAAATTAAAGAAAGAAAACAATGATAGCATCACACTTCTTTGCCCTTTCCCTACTGCCAAACCTCTATGCTTCTCGTGGGCCTAAGACTTCCTTTGAATACATTACGCTCAGTTCCCTGACAAACAGAGCGGGACTTGACTCTCAGGCAAGTCAAACTCCCAAGCTTCTGAGCAAGGCTGGAGCCAAAGAAGTGAGACGCCCCTAGTGGGTAATCTCAGGCCTCCTGCCTCTGCGGTCTCTTTTTTTGGGTGAGGGGGATAACACATTTCTTGACACATCTCATAAAAACTTACTTTTCACTATCACTTTGTGAAAAAAACAGTAAATCTGCTAAAAATTCCATAATTTCTGCAACTCGCATGCTTTTCTCACCAAACAAACTTCTCCTGATATTTAAGCACTCTTGAAGTTTCACTCTTGCAAGAGAAGTATTTCCGGCAACCAAACTGGAAATAAAACACGTGTGTTATTTGCTGGCATGACACATGCTGGCTACATTCACTGTGCTACCAAAAATAATTCTCTTAAATAGCCTTTATTTTGTGCGGTAACTTGTACTGGAGAAATAAAAAGAGTAGTTGATAATAGCAGAAATGCCAGAACATAGTATATACATGTTTGTAAAGAAACTGTGGCACTATTTCCAACCTCAGTACACTGGCCTCTGGGCCACATGGTTCTTCGTTGTAGGGGATTCCCTGGACATTGTATAATGCTTAGCAAAATCCTGGCATCTAACGACCAGCTGTCAACAGCGATCCCCCTAGTTATGACTATCAACAATGTCTCCAGACACTGCCGCAAGTCCCCTAGGTGAAGGGGCAGGCCTCAAATTGCCCCTGATTAAGAACCACTAAGCTAAAGGATGGAAATGCTAAAGGTCACCTAGATGGGAAATGGATTAGCAGGTGTGGGTTAAGCACACTGATCATAAGAGGAAGCTCTAGTATGGAAAACATAACAATTTTAGAAACCAGGTTTACATGAGAACACCTTCCGTGTATTTCATAGTAGCTTGATCACAGGGATTGTTACTCAGGAATTTGGAAACCTCCGTAGCATATTCCAAAACATGATTTTCCTTTAAGTACTCCTCAGACGCTGTCTTGGCCAGGTTACTCAGCACTTTGACTGCAGGAAATAAATTTTGGCAAAGAATGTGATGCTTAGAGGATTTTTTTCCCCACAAAAGAGTTAAGATATCAATAGGCATAGCATTTCACATAATTTCATCACTGCCAATAGCCAGGTGTTTCTCTTAATAAAATCAACTCTTGACCTACACTGAGTGGAGATTGCTTTTCATACCATGCTTTTGTGAATGCAGAGCAGTTAGAGGGTCCAGGAGCCAAATTCATACCTTCAAAACAAATTCTGAGTCTGTTTTGCCAACAAATAGGTCAGAAATAGAGTGGGCATATAGATATACTGAAGCCATTCATCGCCTTGGTAACCGAGTCCTACAGAAGATCGCCAGCACAGTTCTACAATAAGATACAGCAAAACTATACAATCTTACGACAAGCACCACACAAATACACAGCCCACAAACCCAGTTACTACAAAATGAGCTGGACCTGGACCCACCCAGCCTTGGGAATGCAACCTCTACAAAGGCTTGGCAATGCTACTCCTTTATTTGCTTGTTTTTTTTTTTTTTAATTTATTTGAAAGGAAATGAGAGAGAGAGAGAGAGAGAGCACGAGAGAGAGAGAGAGAGAGAGATTGTATCTGCTGGCTCACTCCCCACATGTCCATTACAGCTGGTGCTGGGCCAGGCCACAGCCAGGAGCCTGGAACTCCATCCAGGTCTCCCATGTGGGTGGCAGAGACACACACCTGCTGCCTCCCAGGGTGTATTACAGGATCGAAAGCAGAGTAGGCCAGACTCAAACCAGGCACTCTGATACAGGATGTGGTCCTTATAAGCAAAGGAAACTGGGACTATGGACATGAGTATGCACACACAAACAGCCAGGGAAGGCCACAGAGGACACAGAAGGAAGGCACCACCCAGAAGCCATGGAGAAATCTCAGGAGAAACCAACCCTGCTGACCCCTTGACCCTGCACTTCCAGTCCCAGAACCGTAGGAAACAAGTTTCTATTGCTAAGCCCTCTCGTGTGTTCTACATTGGTTTGTGCAGTAATGTTCTGAGAAGGTGTTACCAGAGCATTGCCAGCAGCCCAGAAAAGCAGGCTTAACTCCCTGTGCTATGCAATTCAGACTTAGTTATAACAGAATTCCATTCCATCATCAAGCAGCACTCTTAGCATCATCATTTGTGCCTAATTCCCTGCCCAGTGAGCACCACACTCTTCCATGCCTCCCATCTGCGGTCCTGTGCTTGCACTTGGACATCAGAGCAGGACAGCCACATAACTGGTCTCCCTACATCCCACCATGAATCCATTCTAGACAGAGCAGCAAAAGTGATCTCAAGATAGAATTTAGATAATGTCATTCCTACCCTGACTCCCTGCAATGGCTTCCCCTCCCACTTGGAATAAAAATCCCAGTGTGTGCCCACGGCTCAAGACCCAAACTCTGCATAGTCTGGGCCCAGCCACCTCCAGCTATTCGCTCACAGAGGCTTCCTTCCATTCTTGGGGCAGACCCAGCACTGCTCCACATCAGGGTTCTACACATGCTGCTCCCAGGACTGTCCCCAGCATGCCTCCTGCAGTCCACAAACAGATCCACACACACACATGCATGTATACTCTAGCTCCACCCATCTCTCATGTGCACCTGAAATCATTTCATAGTTTGGCTCACTTGTGTTCTGTGTGTCACCTCCTTAGAAAGAAGAGTTGGTGTTTCTGTCTTGATCGCTGTTCTAGACTCAGTGCAGCTCCTGGGGCACAGCAGGTGGTCAAGAAATATTTCTTACGTGTGTGACCTCTGGTCCAGCTGGAATCCTCCCTCACCTTCTGTATCTGCTTACCCCGGCCCCAAGTCTCTACCACACTGGAACTGTGGTGTGATTCTATCAATGCTTCCACTCATGACACTGAGGCCTCCTAGTATCCCATTTAGCCAAGATAGCCCCACCACAGCCTATTGATTTGACCTCCCCGTGTAGATCAAGCTGGGTCCACCTGTCCCCTTGGAATTCTACACTGTGGACTGCCCAGCTGCCCTGGAGGACCAGGCCCTGCTTACACACAAAGTGTCCCTGGTTCCACCCTGGTTTCCCCTTGCACTAGGGCAATTTGAAGTTAGGCTCCACATATTGAGAATCAAAGCTTCGTAAATCTCTAGAAGATATTCTGTGTGAGGCCTAGTATGGACTCCATAGCACCACAAATACTAAGTGCCAGAGTCGAAAGTACTTATTTAATCTCTCTGACCGTCAGGTTCCCCATGTGTAAAAGGGGAGTTACAATGCACGCCACATGAGGCATAGTTAAGGACATAAGGAATTATGAGTATAAGAGCTCAACAAATAATCATTATTACTCTGAAAAGGAATTGGCAAATGAGAACCTCGGAGTGAACAGCTTGCCCAAGGTAACCTTTGATCCTCTAGAAGTGTTAGCAGACTGCAAAAACAGCTGCACCTTTGTACCTCCTACACAAGCCTGCACCTACCGCCACCATGCATTGCGACTCTGCACCTCCTCCCATCAGAGGCGAATGAAGCCTGCTGACTGTCAAATGCTGCAGAAGCAGGCATGGACCAGTTCTGAGCCCAGGCCCAGGCTTCTGCTCACCCTCCTGGAAGCCTATGACTTGTCAAGTGCACAGGTCCAGGCCACGCTCCCGGAGGATGAAGAACACATGGCCCAGCCACCCCCATCACCTCAGCTAGACAATCCCCAGATACCTAAGTGAGGTCCTTAACTCAGCCAGCCCCACTGACTCTGCCAGTAGATTTGGCTGCTTGCACAAGCCAGACCCAAATCTGCTGGGCTGACCCTGGAGTCACACCCTCACAGCCCCCACCTTCTCAGGAGCAGCTGTCAGAACAAGGAGCACTTTGTGTTCAATCCTCACACGCCCACCAGCCTCCTGCCCAGACACAGCAAGCAAGCAATGCACAGGCGTCTATTTCCACCTTCTTGTGGGAGGAGTCGGACTCTGTGAAACACAAGAAGTTATTGCTTCCTCTGCATGGTTCTGCCGTACCTTTCTGCTTCATCAAGTCCTGGCTGTTTCTCAAGTCACTGAGTGAAAAACACAGCAGGTTTGACCATGCTTTTTGGAAATACTGGCAGCTCTCCTGAGTCATGCCGATTTCAAGATACAGTTCTCCGGCCGCGTTCTGTACTTTGACAAGCATCTCTTTCGTGGACCGGCTCTGTACAAAGTAGAAAGGGAATCGCTGCTGAGGGAACACGGATCTGGAAAGGGTACAGCCGCCAGACACTGCCCCCCCCCCCCAAGAAAGGCTCATTTCGTAATGAACTTGGAAAAGATGGTATGCGTTACATTGTTTCTCAGGGAACTGTACATGTTTATAAAATAACAGTTATGGTGAAATATTTATTGGGAGACATTGCAAACTAAAAACACAATTTGGAAATTGTTTTCACAACTTAATAACAAAAATTTTCGAAGAATAACGACCATATTTTATGCATGGTAATGATTCCAAGAGGAGCCTTATGCAGAATTCAAAAGAACAACTGGAAATGCTACTGGGATTCAAATGTGACCAGAGTGCTGCTACCTTTATGTCTGACACACTATTGCTTAGCTATGAATTTAAGGGACCGGGCTGTGGTGTAGTAGGTTGGGCCTCTGCCTGCAGCACCAGCATCCCCATATGTGCACCAGTTCAAGTCCCAGTTGTTCCACTTCCAATCCAGCTCCCTGCTAATGGCCTGGGAGAGCAGTGGAAGATGGCCCAAATGTTTGAGCCCCTGTACCCTGTGGGAGATCTGGATGAAAGTCCTAGCTCCTGGCTCCTGGCTCCTGGCTTCAGATTGGCCCAGCTCCAGCTTTTGCAACCATTTGGAGAGTGGACCAGTGGATGGAAGACCTGTGTGTGTGTGTGTGTGTGTGTGTGTGTGTGTGTAGCTCTACTTCTCAAATTAGTAAATCTTTAAAAATAAATAAATAAATATGAATTTAAATTCATCTACTGGTTGAGTGTATTTCTTTCAGGAATCCTTAAACTTTGTTAATTGTAATCACTCTATCAAAACCTTTTCAAAGCCGGCACCGCGGCTCACTAGGCTAATTCTCCACCTTGCGGCGCTGGCACACCAGGTTCTAGTCCCAGTCGGGGCGCCAGATTCTGTCCCGGTTGCCCCTCTTCCAGGCCAGCTCTCTGCTGTGGCCAGGGAGTGCAGTGGAGGATGGCCCAAGTGCTTGGGCCCTGCACCCCATGGGAGGCCAGGATAAGTACTTGGCTCCTGCCATCGGATCAGCGCGGTGTGCCGGCCACAACGCGCCGGCCGCGGCGGCCATTGGAGGGTGAACCAACGGCAAAGGAAGACCTCTCTCTCTCTCTCTCTCTCTCTCTTCTCTCTCTCTCTCTCTCTCTCTCTCACTATCCACTCTGCCTGTCAAAAAAATTAAAAAAAAAAAAAAACCTTTTCAGGGGCCGGCTCCACGGCTCACTAGGCTAATCCTCCACCTGCAGTGCCGGCACTCCGGGTTCTAGTCCTGGTTGGGGCACCGGTTCTGTCCCAGTTGCTCCTCTTCCAGTCCAGCCCTCTGCTGTGGCCCAGGAGGGCAGTGGAGGATGGCCCAAGTCCTTGGGCCCTACACCCGCATGGGAGACCAGGAGGAAGCACCTGGCTCCTGGCTTTGGATCAGCACACTGGCCATGGCGGCCATTTAGGGGGTGAACCAACAGAAGGATGATCTCTCTCTCTCTCTCTAACTCTGCCTGTAAAAAAAAAAAAAAAAAAAAAAAAAAAAAAAAAAAAAAAACCACTTTTCAGGGGCTGGTGCTGTGGCGTAGAGGGAAAAACCGCCACTTGAAAAGGCGACTTCCAATACGGGTGCTGGTTTAAGTCCCAGCTGCTCCACTTCTGATCCAGCTCCCTGATAACATGACTGGGAAATCAGCAGAGCATGGCCCAAGAACTTGGGCCCCTGCACCCACATGGGAAACCCATATGAAGCTCCTGGCTCCTGGCTTCAGATTGACTCAGTTCTGGCCATTGCAGCCATTTGAGGAAGAAACCAATGGATGGAAGATCTCTGTCTCTACCTCTGTCTCTGTCTCTGTCTCTCTGTCTCTCTCTCTCTCTCTCTGTAACTCTGCCTTTAAACTAAATAATCTTTAAAAAAAAATTATCAGTGCATAGGAACATATTGATTTCTGTTAGTTTTTAAAGTGCCCCCACAAAAAATAAGTTGGTAATGAGTTATCCCAGTGTTAATATCTCATTTCAGAAAACTCATCAACAAGAACAATGTGAATGTGTTTGGCAACTAACAGGCCCTCTCAGTGGACTACATCATCATCATAATTAGCTATGTAATACTTTATGCTGTACCACAGTGTTGGCCTGGGGAAGGACTAAGCCTGGCTCCCTGCTGTGAACGTCAAGACTTTGAGTCTTCCTACTCTCCTGCACCTACTTAAAATGCCCTTCCATGGCAAAGGATCCTTCAGAGCTTGATCCAGAGCTTTCTAATAGGTGCCCTGCAAACAGGTTCCATCTGCACCGAGATAATTACGTCCTTGACCTTGGAGGCAGCCAAGTGTAGCACAGCATTCCCGGGCCTAGGTAGTGATTCTGCCAGGGATCCCTCACATGAATCTTTAAAATCTAGGGGGCTGGCGCTGTGGCACAGCAGGTTAATACCCTGGCCTAAAGCACTGGCATCACATATGGGCGCTGGTTTGAGATCCAGCTGCTCTACTTCTGATACAGCTCTCTGCTATGGCCTGGGAAAACAGTACAGGATGGCCCAAGTCCTTGTGCCCCTGCACCTGTGTGGCATGGGAGACCAAGAAGAAGCTCCTGGCTCCTGGCTTTGGCTCGGCACAGCTCTGGCCATTGCAGCCAACTGGGGAGTGAACCATTGGATGGAAGACCCCTTTCTCTCTCTCTTTCTCTCTCTCCCTCTCCTCTCTCTGTGTAACTATGACTTTCAAATAAATAAATAATTTTTTTAAAAAATTGCCCACTCTCAGAATAATTGTAGATCCTATCCCTGCTGCTCCTAGGCCCAATCCTCCACTCCAAAGTTGGCCTCCATTCTGCTTTCATTGAGCTCAAATATGCCCTGAAAGATTGCTCTCAAATATTGGTTAGGATCAGGATTGGCTGCAAATAACAGAAACCTCACATCAATAGTGGCTTCATTTCTCCCATGTGAAAGTCAGGAAGCTGAGCGGTGCAGGGCTGCAGACTTTCCACTGTGCAGAGACCCCGGGCCCCTTTGATCTCACTGCTTGAACTTCACTCTCAAGGATATCTCTTGGCTTAAAATGACTGTTCCCTCTCCAGCCATCATATTCACAATTTAGCCAGCAGGAAGGAAGAAAGATATTATGGTCTGAATGAGGCCCCCAAACTTTGTATTTCAAAATTCTAACCCCCAATGTAATGCCATTAGGAAGTGGAGCCTTTGGGAGGTGATAAGGTAGTGAACATGAAGCCCTCATGAGTGGAATCAGTGCCCTTACACCAGGGAGCCCTGAGAGTTCTCTCACTCCCTTCCTCCACGCAAGGACACAGCAAGAGGATGGAGTCTGTGAAGCAGGTCACAGACCCTCAACGGACTCCAAATCTGCTGGTGCCTTGATCTTGGCCTCCCCAGCCGTCAGCACTGTGAGAAATCAATGTCTGACGGTTAGGGCACCAAGCCTATGGGGGTTTTGTGATAGCAAACAGGGCTAAGACAAGGAGAAGAGGGGAGAAGAGGGCATACCCTTCAGTTCACAAAAACTTCCAGTCACTCCCATTTATAACATATCAGCCAAAACTTGGGCATACGGCGCTGCGGCTCACTAGGCTAATCCTCCGCCTTGCGGTGCCAGCACCCCGGGTTCTAGTCCCGGTCGGGGCGCTGGATTCTGTCCCGGTTGCCCCTCTTCCAGGCCAGCTCTCTGCTGTGGCCAGGGAGTGCAGTGGAGGATGGCCCAAGTACTTGGGCCCTGCACCCCATGGGAGACCAGGAGAAGCACCTGGCTCCTGCCATCGGATCAGCGCGGTGCGCTGGCCGCAGCGCGCCGACCACGGCGGCCATTGGAGGGTGAACCAACGGCAAAGG